GTTTGTTCCAGGAAATAATGACCAATAACACCAACATCTATGTACTCCTTATGCTTTTATTAAACATGTTAAATTAATACAGTGTGAAATAGCAGACGTAAGAAAAAACAGGCAGGCTTGATCAGGTCCCTGAACCGGTATAAAGGTAATGGTGGTGGTTAACTGATTACCTAGACATAGGAAAGTGGCTGTGGTAGCCTCCAGATAGTTCAGCCTTCCAAACTTCCCAAAACCAGTATGTAAGGGACAACAGGAGAAAGTGGTCCATGCTGCTAGGGAGGTCAGTTTAAAGCAACTTCAAGACTTCATCTCCAAGGGAGAATGCGCAGAATACTGTTTCTCTTTCCCCTGGTAAACTTTTCAACAACTTTAAGGTACTTAAACCCCTATGAATATTTTTGTATCCCAATACATCATTTTGGACTGAATTTTGGGTAAAAATGGGCTTCCAATAAAAGCACATCCCTTTCCATGAAGTGCTTACCTTGGGAGAGGTACAAGGGAGGGACAACAGGTAGTGGAGAGACATAAGCCCCATGCCTGCTGGGATTGGGGGTCTTTGCTGCTCAGCAAGACCCACTTTGCCCCCACTTTTTCTTGTTTCCTTGCTTGCTCTAATTAAACCCTTCACTGCTTTATGTATTACTGTGTCCTATCTGCCTTCTTCTGTTTTGGAGCACAAGAACCAAGCTTGCTGCTGGGGTGGAGATCTGAGGAAACTGAACACCTCCCTATAGCAATGGGAGGCAGATTGTGGATACAGGGAGACTCTATATTAGCCTCTCTACTTTCGTATACATTCAAAATTGGATGTATTATACGCACATACACACATACAGCTCCTTGAACAGCCAAGTCTCTGAGATTCTAAGAGCCTTGTGAACACACTTTTTGCCATCCTTGTCTTCATCTACTGGACCCTAGCCCTTGACTTGCCCTCCTGTCTTCCACTCCCTGCCTTAGCGGCAGGCAGCAAAGGGTGTTCGACTTAATTGTTAAATTCAGTTCAACAAGTTCCTCATTAGGGACAAATTACCTGAGTTTGAAATCTGCTAATTTTCCAATCAGAGTGAGTGTTTGCACTTGTGATTTGGAAATAATTACCATATGGTAAAAGCAAAACCTATGTGGGGATTAAAGTAAAGGTGAGGGAGGCCAGAACTTATTTTGACGTCTTTCCTGGAACCCACGTTAGCATCTGCAGATTCATTGAGGTGCCTTAGTTGTTGGCTGCCAAAACTCATCTGTACTACTTTTTGGCAAGGGATGCCCACTTCCCATATAAATGCTCCTGAAAGATGACCATGGCCTTTGATGGGAGAGTAGTGTGGCCAGAATTGGATCAGGGAAAGAGAAGAACCTTTAGAATTTAGCTAGGTAATCTAAAACTACCCCTATATGCTTAAGACATTTGTGGTCAATCTGAGGCTTCTGTGTGGGTGACAAAATATTTCCTTGGGGGGGCGGAGTCTACAAGTCCTCTGGTTGACCTCATATCAGCTGGGAATTGGAAGGATTATGGATAGTAATTGCAACAGAAGTTGTCACAGTCCCAAATGGTAGATCACACTCCTGTTAAAGCATTTGGAAACTCTCAGGAAAGAAAACCTTTCAGGTCATTTATAAGCCAAGCGAGACTATCTCCCCCTGGAACACAGCTTTTCTGAAACCAGGAGGAGCCAGGAGAGTCCTCAGCTCCTTCTCCAAGTGCTGCGTCTCCCTCTGTCTGACAAGTGCGGTGATGCCGGTACTCACATTTCTTTTTACACCTCAGCTGCCAGGGAACTCATAACCAAATGTGAAGAGCGATCACTGAGTTTAGATAGATGATTAGCATGTCAGCATTCCTTACTCATTTCTTTTGGGGGGATATATTTTTCAGCAAGGTCTCACTCTGTAGCCCACGCTGGCCTGAGGAACTCCTTGTGAGGCTTGAGGCATAAGCAGGAACCACCACACCCAACCCTTGCTTTTTTTTTTTTTTAACTTCAATTTTACTAGTTCTTTTTGTCTTTGCCACTGACTTCTTTAGGTCTTTTCCCCCAACAAAGACACACGTGGGAACTGAAAAACAAGGGTCAAGAACTACACAAATGGCAGTAGGTCCTGTTCATTTATACTTTTACTAACCATTAGAAACACCTACTAGGGTCTCTCCCCATAGTGCCCTCTCTTTTTCATTCTTGAGACAGAATTGCTTGTCTCGTGTATCCCAGATGGGACTCTCAAACTCAAACTTGTAGCTGAGGATGACTTTGAACTCTAGGTTCCCCTGTCTCCACGTGCAAAGTGCTGAGAGTACAGGTTTGCACAACACATTAGATCTTAACCTTACTTACAAAGGAAGAAACTGTGACTGGCATAGGACTTTCCAAGGCCATAAAGCTATTAAGTCATGCACTAATGATGTAGTTCTCTTGTCTGCTTCCCAAGTCTGTGCCCTGTGTCTGGATATATGCCCCTGACGAGTTGATGGGTCTTCGTTTACTGGCAGACTGTATATGTAGTCCCATTTTATGTTTTCCAATGCCTGCTTTCAAACTCGTAACTCCAGGTGCTTTGGATGGCTCTTAAAACTCTCTGTGCTCTCTTATTTGGTAAAACTGATGATCCGGTTACAAATTCCTCTAGTCTAGTAGGATGGTGGCCAGGGAAGGGAAACATAGATCTTCCCGAGGGGAAAGGTCCTTTGTCAGATCTGACGCTGTGATCTCAGGCTGGCCTAGAACTTGTGATCCTGCCGTCTCTGGCTCCCGTGTGCCTCATGGGATTACATATGTAAGCAACCTTGCCTGCATCGGCCTGTGTTCAGCTTTAAACTGGGTTTCTCCTCCTCTGTGGCCACCCGCAGGATGGCCCTGTGCTCCTCCACACTGAACTCCAGTGATGCCCGAGGTCCCTTTCCGCATTCTGAAGGCGGCGGGCTGGGGATCAGTGGGAAAGTTGTTCTGGTTTTGAGCCACGCAGCCCCCTCAGATCATCGGGGTGCTTCACGTTCAGATATCTCTAGTCCACTAGGGGGCACCAGACTCCAGGTTCGCTCGCCCTGCAACCCCAGAGAGCATTTGAGAATCCTCCCCAAAGCAGTCCGCAAGGTTCCGGAAAGCGCATCTCTGTAGCTCCGCCAGAGTTGGGGCGGGGAGCAGGACGCCAGCGTCCCCTTCCGGTTGGCCCCGAGCCGCGACCTCCGCACTCTTCCATACACACCACGTGGTTTGGCATCGCCGAGCAGCTGCTCACGCCTCTGCTCTCTCCAACCATTTGCCCACTCGCTGGACGAAGAAGCAACCGTCACCAGGAGCACAACTAAACCCTCTCCCTGTCCTCTAGTGTCAGCTGAGGTTGGAAAAGGGCGAGATCCGGTGATGGAGAGAAGGGTTGGAAGGGAACAGCCGGTTCTGTGGGATCTTTATAGTCTCTTCGTAGAGATGTGTTTTCAGGCTGTTTGCAGCCTATGTGCACATGTATGTGTACACACACACACACACA